GGCAATACCCGTGGTGCCTATATGGGTGAGCAGGAAAGGGTAGTGGTCTGAGGGATGAATGAGCTCTGGCAGTCTTTCTGTGACACTCTGAATATGGGCTCTAGGCAAACAGCACACCTCCTGGGCCTCCAAATCTGGACAACAAATCAGTGTTTCTTTCCCCCGCCCAAGGAGGTCATAAACCACCACTATTTTCCTCTTCCTTTTTGGTGGAGTGGTCTTGAAGGCCCTATCCCTGGGGCCCTACACTTCCTGCATTCCAGATTGCTAATTCCTCTGATCCTTGTCTGCTGTTGTTTTTATTTCTACTATATAGATGATCAAAAAAACCCAGAAAACAAACAAACATACTCAGATGTTTTCCAGTTTTCTTCAAATGTAATCATTGTAAAAAAATGTGGATGAGGTAGGCTCCCATATTTGTGTCATAATAGATATTTCCCAAACACAGAAGAATGCATAGACCCTGCTGCCAGAAGGTGTAGTCTAAATGCACAGAGACCAGTGTGAAGACTGGTGGGTTCGTATGCAAGCAAAGTGGTCTGTTTATTGTAGTGATTCTCACCCAGGTTATGACAACACACTGGGATGCCACCAGATCCTTTAAGGGGTGCCACTGAGGTGTGAGGACATAAGATATAAGTGCAGTCTCAGCCTTGTTCCTGTCTGGCTTATCCCTGTTGCCCAGCCCCTCTGCAAGAAGGGTAAGTGCTGTAATATATAAATTAGGTTTTTAAGTGGGTGCCAGTCAATTCACAAACATATGAAGGAGTGCCTTGAATCCCAAAAGGGTGAGAACCGTTGGCCTAATGCTAGCCATATAGTACATTCCTTAAAAAACTATTTCAAACTTTCCTTTTATTTTAAGTTCAACCCATTAAAGTTTTCCCTAACTGGTAGATGAGTAGCATACCTGTGAGAAATATGAATTGATTAGTCAGTTTTAAAGAGATGTTCTCAAAGAAGTGAGTCCTTGGGACAAATGTAAATGAAGAGGGTGTAGAAAGTTTGTGGATTAGATCAAAGAAGAACATTTTATGCAAAGGGATTTTTTAAGAATGGGAGAGATGTTTTTGAGAGAAATGGACATATGAGACAGCACTGCCAGAAGGTCGAGGAAAGTGATTATTCCCCTCTATTCTGCACTGGTGAGGCCACAACTTGAGCATTGTGTCCAGTTTTGGGCCCCCTGGTATAGAAAAGATGTGGACAAATTGGAGAGAGTCCAGAGGAGAGCAACAAAAATGGGTTGGGAGCTGGAGCACATGTCTTCTGAGAAGGGGCTGAGGGCTGGGTTTATTTAGTCTGCAGAAGAGAAGACTGAGGGGATTAAATAGCAGCCTTCAACTACCTGAAGGTTGGTTCCAAAGAGGATGGAACTGGACTGTTCTCAGTGGTGGTAAATAAGTGAACAAGGAGCCAATGGTCTCAAGTTGCAGCAAGGGAAGTTTAGGTTGGATATTAGGAAAAGCTTTCTCACTAGGAGGGTGGTGACGCACTGGAATGGGTTACTTAGGGTGTGTTTACATGTGCAAATGCTGCTGGATGCGTTTACTCCAGAGTAATTTACCAACTGGTCCCTGACCAGGACAGTTCCAGGCTGTGTGGGGAAGTCTGCATGTGCAGCCTGGAGCTTGCTGGGGAACTGCCTGAAATGGGACAGTCCCTAGCCAGCTCCAGGGATGGCTGGGCAGGGAACTACCTGCCCTAGCTCTGCCATCACACAGTGAAGGCTGGGAGATTTCTCCTCTCAGCCTCAGCTCTGCAATTGTGGAGTGGGGACAGGGAACACTCTCCCTGCCCCCACTCCATGATCACAGAGCAGGGGCAGGGAGCTCCCTGCTGTTGGAACAAGGGGGCATCGTCTCCACCCAGCCTCCCATGGTGGAGCCCACCCGAGCAGCAGGCAGCTCCAGGGGGCAGGGAGCTACCTCCCATTCCCTGCTGCCCAGCTGACAAGGAGCAAATTTGCTCCCAGTCAGCCGTCTACACAGGCCTTACTGCACAGTAATTATTTGGCAATTAATTCACTATTTGCATTTGCTGGTAGCAAATTAACTGCTGAGTAGAGCAAATTACTGTGCAGTAAGGGCCTGCATGTGTAGACAGTGATGTTTAATACGTAGTAATTTGCTCTGTTGCTCAGTAAAGCATCTTGTATAAACACATCCCTAGAGAGGAGGTGGAATCTCCATCCTTAGAGGTTTTTAAAGGCCCACCTTGATAAAGCTCTGGCTGGAATGATCCAGTTGGGGATGGTCCTGCTTTGTACAGGGAGCTGGACTAGATGACCTCCTGAGGTCCCTTCCAACCCTAGTTTTCTATGATTCTAAAGGCAGCAGTCCTATTACAGAATTAATAATGAATTGTGCAACTGGAATACTTGACAGAAGAGATGAGATTATGGAAGATTTAGAAGGAGTCTCCACTCCAATTGGAAGCTTGCTGGTGGTCAGATGTAGTGTCGCGGTAAAAAACATTGCAAAGAGAGTTGGAGCGATGATGGAAGGGCTGGGACAGAAGCTTGTGCTGGTGCCTGCCATAGAAGCATCGTAGAACCCTAATGCAGGAGGAGCATGCGCATGTGCTACAGCCCTTCCTGGTATAGCTGATCCCAGTACTTGCAGGGCATGTTTACCTTGAAGGCAACAGCAGCCAGGTGAGAAGCCCTGTTGTAAGTTGAGCACAACAGTGGTGCTTAACTGGGGATATTACCATTTTTTAAACTTGTGGAGGAGTCCTGTGAGTCTGAGAAGTTTGAGAACCACTATGCTAAGTAGGCACACAGGGAGAGTTATGTTTTGAGTCTAGTAGCAGTCTGAAATTGCAGCATGGAGAGCTTAAAGTGGGAATGGACTGCATCTGCCAGCCACAGGCAACTGTTATTTCATTTAGGTCCAGCAGTTCCTTGAGTATGTGTCATTTTCATTCTGAAATGAGATAACCCTTTGAGGATATAGACCCCATCCCTAAGGATAAAGGAAGGTTGCATCTTCCAGCTGTAGTTTATCAGTCAGTTAAGCTGTATTATGAGTTGTACTTTTTTCTTTGAAATGCTAGAAAGGGGACTTCCAAAAGAGCACTGCCTCTAACTGTTAAGCAAGTCCCCACTAGCTCTCCTGTTTGAAATGTTTTGGGCTCCAGGACAGACCACCGCTTGTGTCATGAAATGAAAGTTTTAGAGAGCAGTTAACTTTCAGGAAGATGCTAGGACTAGAAAGTTGACCATCCCAGACTGTACTGAGTGGCCCATTTAACCTATACTGAAATTTCCTGAGGCTAAGGCACTGAACTGGGCATCAGAACATTGGGTTTCCTGTGTGACAGCTAAAAATGTCTTTATGCTTACATCTGAGCTCTTTGAATAGAGCAGTGGGGACCAACAATTTTGGTAGGCGTGCCACAAATTAACCCTGCTCCCTCCCAAAGTGACTTTGATCCCTTCCCCTGCCTGATTTGCAGCTGTACTTTCTTCTCCCACCCCTGTGCTCCCTGCCTGATCTGCTGCTCTGCTTTCTACTCCCATTCCTGTGCTCCGTGCCCAATCTGATGTTTTGCTTTCTGCTCCCTTCCCTATCTCCCACCATACTCCCTGATCCCCCTGTGATCTGCTGCATGCCACACACAAAACTGCTCTTGCCATTTGTGGCACCTGTGATTAGAACATAGTGAAAGTTGGCGCTACCTTGATTAGGCATAATTTAGAGGTGGAATAAATGTTTGTGGGTGGGATCTTTTATGGGACCAACTGCATGGTTGAAACTAGACTTAGACAAACTTTGGGGTCTCACAGTACCCTTCCTTGGGTCTCTGGAATTCAAGAAGCAGGCCCAGCAGAGCTAAATAGCAGATGGAACAAGATCTTATGTAAAACTCCATATGTAAACAAAACAGGATATAAAATAATTTATCAGGTAGCCAACACTTAAGAGAGATGTAGTATCATTCAGGAGGGTTGCTATATAGTCTGTAAATTCAGAGATCTTGTACATTATAATGGACCTTTAAATCATTGTCTGTGTCAAACTCTTCTGGCCCCATGGGCTGAATGAGTTGTGCCAGGCTTGATCTGGCCCAAAAATCCCCTGCTTCTTCCCCCACTCCCCATACCAGATCCAGCATTTGTGATGCATCCTCCACTCCCACCCCCAGCCCAGTCCAGGACTGCACCATATGGAGCATATGTCCCAGACTGGCAGCAGGAGGGGAAAGATGGTGGGGCCCAGACTGGCCAGAATGGGCACCACATACATTGTTGTTCTGAGTTATGCACCACACATGGCATCTGGTCCAGGCAGCCTGGGATCCATGCTATGCACAGCATCCATCCCAGCAAGTCCATGCAGCATGGATCTTGGACTGGCTGGGGCAGGTGCTACATGTGGCATAGGTCCTGGATAATGTGCCATGTGTAGTGTGGATCCTGGAAAAGGTGCCGGTTCAGTGGCATGTGGGTCAGCTGAGACCCAGGGGCAGCATTGGGGACAGACAAGGCTGCATGGGCTGGATCCAACCCACAAGATCTTTGACACCCCTGGTCTATGTTAAGACCCTGGTTTCTTAGTGTCTAACCAACTATTGAATTGTTGTTCCCAGGCTCAATTTTTGAACATGTTTTGTAAATTTCCCTTGAGCACAGGAACTAAGAGGTTGGACAAGGAGTGATTATTCTGTGAAAAAATGTCCTAGCTGTTTTCTCTTCTTTCTGTCCTTTATCTTTTTTTCTGTGAACATTCATTCTGGTCTATAGTTTTCATTTGGTTTCACTTTCATATTTTCCATGAGGACATCTGATATGCTGACCACATTCTGGGATAGGCCTGAGTATGTTCCATGAATTCTGATGGTTTTATTGTGGGGATTTGTGGAGTGTTAATTGTTGTGGCAGTAGGGATGAGTTGACAGGCATGGAAGCCATTCTGATTCTCAGCTGTTTGTAAGATTACTACTCCATTGTATCCTTGGGTATATTATGGTTGCCTTCTCACTTTTTATTGCAGTTGTGATCCCAAAGAGCCCATTACCTGCATCTGAAGTGAGCTCTGAGAAATCCAGCATGCACAGTAGCACAAAAAGCATTTTGGGGGGTCAATCCGGGCAAAGGCGTCGCAAAACAGGGAAGAAGCGAGGTCGGACGCCCAAAGCTCTGATCCATCACCCCATACCTGCTCCCTCCAAGTCAGTGGAGCCTTTGAAATTCCCAAAAAAGAGGGGACCAAAGCCTGGCAGTAAGGTAGGCAACAAGAGTGTCTGTCTGTCTAATCATGAGTAAATGAAGTGTGTTGCATGCATGTACATGGGGTGGAAAGTAGCTGTGCTTTGGCATTCATGTACAGTAGATACCAGCCCTAAGGCTACTGGGGTAGGGTGCATGGCTGGGAATATCCTTTACTTTGTTTCTCAGGCCTTTAGGAAATGGGAGCAGAGTAAGTAAGCTCTATCTCATACAGGTTCATGTATGCTGCTGCCAGGAAGTACCCTCTGGGAGTATGCCTTGACCATAGGGGCCATAGCAGCTCACTTTAGAGCCAGGTGGTCTTCAGTGGGTACATACAAATGTTAAAAATTGTATGGGTATCCAATACTAAGGATTTTTGTGGGTGATATCTTTTATTGGACCAACTGCATAGTTGGGAGTGAGATGGAGAGAAGCTTTCAGGCAAGATGTACCCTTCCTCAAATCTGAGAAAAATGCAGACACATCTCAAAATAATAGAACAGATAGAGCAAAGGCGTATGGAAAGCTCCATATATAAACAAAAATAGGATAAAAGAGACATTATTGGGTAGCTAACAAACAAGAGAAATTCAGTAGGAAGGATAACCTGGTAGGTGGAAAAATAAGACCTTATGAGAGAGTCATTACCACCTGTGGATTGCAGAGAGGTTAGCTGGGATCAAGTGGATTATAATGAGCCATAAAGTCAATGTCTGTTTAGTCTCTGCTTCTCAGTTTCCAGTAAGCTAATGAATATTTGTTCCCAGGCTCATCTTTTGAAGGTGCCTTATAAATTTCCCTTGAGCATAAGAATTTTTCGGTCAGAAAGGGAATGGTGGTTCTGTGGAAAGTGTTCTCCTACTGGTGATCATGCATCTCTGTCCTTT